TTATTAATGATCTCAATTAATCTTTGTGTTTGTCTTATAAAACATTTCAGCCTTGACTGATATCTTTTGTCTGATGTAGTTATATGAAGAATCAATTATTATTAAGAGTAACATCCTTATCTTCGTTGTTTTGATTCATAATTTTCGGCCACTGTGCAATCTCCTTTGAGATGTTAATTGAAATACATTCGCTTTGTTATCATTATCTTTATTTCAATTACGACTTGTTGCTCTATACGCAACATGGCTTCTTCTGTAATGACTGCAATTCTAATAATGATTGTTGTCGCCACCCGCTCGCATCGGAGTCGTCATTCTCTTTCCCTATTCCTTTTTTCTCTCCCCTGGTGGCAGTGGGGATGTCCCTTAATCAAAGAGAGTTAGACGAGATCATTGGCGTGAATTTGATTTTGCTGAACGGAGAAGCTCACACACTTGAACAGAAGCGCCTTCCTCAAAGGGGATTGAGACAGGCGATATCTAGCAAACGTGGTTGCATCGGGACTTTCGGATGCTTGGTCTGTCAAGGTCCATCTTGATTGCGCCAGACTGACTGGCGCTGCCCTCTTCCGCCGGAAGGTTTCTAATAATGAAATAGTGTCACTATTGTTTAAAGTCTTCAGACTAGTAGACTTGTATTTTTCAACCATCACGTTTTTTTTTCCTCTCCAGTTATACATCAATACTAAGAACTCGTCAACATTTCTGAGGAAGAATACATTTTTTTTTTACGCATTTCTTCAAATAAAGCTAAGCGCTTACCTCTTCTTTACTTTATTCAGACATATTTTCCTGATGACGAAGAAATATTTCCAGTCAGCGGCTGACTCAGTCCGAACAAGAAGGCTTTATTTTAACACATTTATGATACATTTAGCAATTCCCTTATGTAGAGCTTACGGCCGCATTATATTGAAACCGACGTTAAGCAACGTCGAGCCTGGTCAGTATTGAGATGGGTGACCGTTTGAGAATACCAGGTAAGCTTGAATTTGTGGATGATGTCATAAGTAATGACTCAGAATTAATCAAAAGCCGATTTTCAATTCTAGTTGGGTTCATTATTTTCACTTACGCGCAAATACCCTTGGGAAATGGGGTATGAATTTAACTCTTCTCTCCTTCTCCAACTTTGGATCAATTTGTATGACTTGTATCACGAAACCATTATTATCTCGAATTAAAAAAAGAACCTCCAATTTTATATTTTCTGTCTTTAAGTAACCTGTAAAGTTTTGATAAGTCGTTGAAAAATTTGATTAGGTCGTTGCTGGTATGAGAAATCCAACCCTCACCGTGTGCTCAAGATGTGCGTTTGTAATTTACAATTAGCTAAATTTAGGAAATAACTAGTGTAACGCATTTTGTAGTGCTCTATTATTAGGGCTTCCTGTTATAAAAGGTAAATTTCTGTAAATATTTGCTGTTAAATCGTTGATATTTTTGTTAATTGCTGAAATGAAGACTTATCATTATTTTACATTATTTTGAATCAAACTGATGGGATCAATATTACCGCCGACTCCTTCTGATATCATCTACGTTTACAAGAGCCGGATCAGGTGAAAAAATTAACTACAACAGGAGCTGCGCAGTCTTCACTTCTCCTCTCGATAGCGTCCAAAATCATTTCCACGTCCTTGTGGCTGACGGATTATTTTCCACCCTACAAACCCTTTCTCACAGACATAGTAAGGCTCTTGCTGCTCTATCGCTATTTCTATGGAGAGTGTTCAGATGACCAAAACTCTTTAGTTCCAACAATCCTAACTTCCACAGATAAGGTCTGCCATGCCAGAGACATCATAGTGAACAACCCTCATTCCCTCCGTATTCCCCTAGTGAGATGCAAGTTCAATTCGAACCGCTTCTTCCCACGAACGACTTTCTTATGGAACCGTTTTCCAAGAGGTTGCTTCACCGATCACTACAATCTTAACCTGTTCTAGTCTAGGGTTTACGGTTATTTTCCCCACATATCTGCATAAGCTGTGCATCTCAGGCTGTAACGCTCTACCTCGAGTGGCCTTCGGGCCTTGTACAGGGTGAATATCGTTGTAAAAAAAATCGTTGAATCTTTAATTGCTAATGTGCTCAATTTTGTTGTTATTATCAGAAAATTTCGACCGTAGGGCATTCCGTCTTTCATCAGGTGCTTGTTCTCAGGTGCTTGCCCAAGGCTCCGTCGCTTTTTAGCGCTGCTCACTTTTCCACTGAGTCTGTGTCTGTACTACCCCCGACCCAGAGACTATATCCACAATTACGACGTCAGAAAATTCCTAAACCAACGCTTTACTCGACAATCATATTCGTCCCGTGAGACAATCCTGAATCTAGAACAAAGTGCTTTTTGTTTAATGTTCATGCTATCTGCCTAAGTCTACCTTGCCGTCACGCTTGATCGCATCCAACTGCCGCTTCTCTTTCTTACTGCTGATGAGGAAGTCTACGTTGTCAAGCTTAGTACTCTGATTTGTTTCTTTTCTTTTTCTTCTAACAACTGAAGAAGTCCGGAGTGCACAACGACCGAAACGTCGTGATAATCAAATTATCGATGAGGATATTAGTCTGAATGTAATTAATGGAACTGTTAGTACGAATTTATATCATAAATAGGCATAGGCCAGAGGTTCCCAAACGGTTCGGCTCGTCTCATAGTTGCGCCGGAAGAGGATAACAGGTGACGCGGAGTGATAGAGAATGATTTAGAAAGTCTGTCTATATTTCTGGGATGAGTTATTATGTACACGATTTACATTATTCGGACTATTGTCCTCATCTTTGCTGCCATATTTATTACAACGTTTCGGCCGTTGTACGCCCCGGCCTTCTTCAGGTGGTTGGAATGTCGAACTGAACCCTTTCTTTCGCTCACTGGGGTAGACTGTTCTAGTTCCACGTGCCATGTCTAATGAATGTCAGTTATCAGTCATCTCCTGTTAACTCCCCTCTCCAAGTTCTCCAACGCCTTAACCAGGTATTGAACTCATACTCTTTAGGTCCTGTCGTTGGATCTAACTAACGCCTTTATCCACTGTACCATGTGTCCGTGAGCGAAATAAAGGGTTCAGCTCGACATTCCAACAACCTGAAGAAAGCCGGAGCTTTGGCAGCAAAGATGGGGCAATAGTCCGAATAATGTAAAGAGTGATATAGAATTTGTTTAAAAATTTATATGACAAAAATAAATATGATTTTATAATTTGAAATATTATTATGCTTTACTTATAATTGCATGCATGAATCCAAGTAAAAATAGTTATAAATAATTATTTATCATTGTGATAATTTTGTATTATATTAAATATTAAGAATATAGTAACTAGTGTCAGCAAATTGGAGGGGAGAGTTATCAATGCTAATTTTTGTCTTCGAATACACAGTTATCTCCCTTTATCCCACTCTCTATTTTTTATTATTTTTAAATATATATTTTTATCATATAAAATTTGGTGAGGCGGCAGCATTCTGAAAATGCAGCTCAGAGCTAAAAATGATTTATCTAAAGAAGAGCTAAAAATGTTTTATCTAAAAAAGAGCTAAAGATGTTTTATCTAAAATGAGCTAAAACTGTTTTATCTAAAAAAACATATTTTTTGTCTTCCAATCCACAGTTCTCTCCCTTTATCCCACTCACTATTTTTTTATTATTTTTAAATATATTTTTTATCATATAAAATTTGGTGAGGCGACAACATTCCGAAAATGCGTCCCAGAGTTTAAAATGTTTGTTAATCACTTCATGTGATACGTCAACAGAAGTTTGCATCTTCTTATTATTGCTGTACATGTGAAACGAAACGACTCAGCAGAGATAAATAGATTGCCATAAGAGAAACGATTATCAAGTATCAGATATCAGTATGGTGATTTTCTAAGCGTAAGGCACCCTGGTAGGATTGAACTCACTATTCACTCGTAATCGATCTAGCGAGACAAACTGGCAAACCCTTACATCACGAGGAAGTGCTCAAAATATGGTGAGTTCCTAAGCGTAGCTTAGATGTGGCACATGGTCGGAAGTATGTGGTACACACTGAGGATCGAACTCACTATTCAGTCTAGTGAGACAAGCTTGTAAAAGATTACACCACATTGAAGTTATCAGTTATCTCTTGTTAATCCCCCTCTCCAAGTTCACCACCGCCTTAACCTGGTATTGAACTCACACTCTTTAGGTCCTGTCACTGGAGAAAATGTCTACGTTGTCAATGCTGAGCTTGACAACGTAGACTTCCTCATCAGCAGTAAGAAATAGAAGCGGCAATAGGATGCGATCAAGCGTGACGGCAATGTAGAGTTAGGCAGGTAGTATGAACATTAGAGAAAAGGCACTTTGTTCTAGATTCAGGATTGTCTCATGGGACGAATATGGTGAATTTCTCAGCGTAGCTTAAATGAGGCCGAAAGCCGAAAATATGGTGAACACAATGAGGATCGAACTCACAACACAGTGGTAATTTATCTAGGGAGACAATCGTACTAACCATTAGACCACGTTGAAGTGCTCAAAATATGTTGACTTTCTCAGCGTAGTGGCACAAAGATGGAAGTACGGGATACCCAGTAAAGATAGAACCAAGTCGGAATTGATGTAGGGGTTTTCTAAGCGTAATTTAGATGTTACACAAGGCTGGATATATGTGGCACCCAGTGAGGATCGAACTCACTATTCAGTCGTAATTGATCTAGCGAGACAAGCTTGCTGATCATTACACCATATCTAAATGCGCTCAGTTGTTGGTGTGCGTAGTGTATGTGTTTCAACAAATGAGATGTGCGGCAAATAATAACAAAAGTAAGGAAATTCGACAAATAAGCTTTTATTACATAGGATAAAAATTCGAAATATTTTCTTCCGTGGTGGTTCTTTGTAAAGAATGATCTGTTTGGATTTCTGTTTGAGACGGTACGTTTTCCTTCTTTTTTTTTTGGTGTAGCCTTGTATAATCGGTCCAGCGTCGAGATCCAGGTCCCTTCCATTTTTTTTTTCTTAACCCCTATGATTTTAGTATCGTCTGCTGCAATAGAAAATAGACACAAAAATAATGTCGTCCAAAGATATTAAGTAAAACGCCTCTTGTTATTTACAAGAAAGATGTAAATAAAAGAGAAAACAAAAAGAAAATGACCATTTTCAATTTATTGCGCATAAATCATAGAAAACTCTAAATATCAACGAGGAAATTGTTTGAATTTGAATATTAAAAGGCATTTTTCATAAAGTGAGCAATGTACTGACGTAGGAAAATATTCTGAGAAACAAAGAAAAGAGATGTAATATCTATATGGCAGTGAATGTTGAACAATCCCCAGAAAGATTAAGAGGTTTGAAGAAACAGAAATGCCATTCCCAAAAATGGTGTTCTGAGAAACAAAGAAAAGCGTTTTGAACTACTATATAATATCTAAACATGGGCGAGCGGTTAAAACGTTCGCTTTTTGATCATTCGACTCGGGTTCGAATCTCTCCATTGTCGATTCGTCAGAAAAAATGACTCTTTCATGTTATCTAGAGGTGGTCCCAACTTTTGTAAAATGCCTGAAAGCCATACCACGGTTTGATCTACGCCTTGCGAAATGTCAATGGCCGTGATAACACGAAGTCACAAGTCATCGTGGCCTTGTTCAGGTTGTTGATCATGACAGATAATGCACAGAACGTGTAACTACAATCCGCTCAGTATAGTTGCAGTATAAACCACTTTAAGCGCTGAACAATGTTCCTGAGTTCCTCAGATACGTATGGCCAGCCATAAGAACATCACAAATACGCCTCAAGTATGAAGAAGAGATTTGAAGCAACATTTGCTGAGAATACTACGGATAGTACATGTAAGTAATGAGGAAGTTTTGCAGAAAAAGATGAATTATAATGAAATTCATAATTATATTTAAAAGAAACTGTTTTTATTTCCAGGTCACATAATGAGAAGAGTGGGCCTGGAGAATTTGACACTGACATGACATATCGGAACTTACGAATAATCTACTGTGAACGGATTGCAAAACAAGTGTAAAAAGGAATGGTAAAATGTCCGAAGTTACTTAGCGCAAGAACAGTTATGATGTTGTGGAGAGCCATGATCGCCAACGCTTTAAAAAGGCATATGAAAAAACATGGTGATGATAATGTCATATTTAACAGTTAATAAGAATTTGAATAGATACTAAAAATTGTATGGGGGGAAATTGATTAAAAAAAAAAAAAAACAAACTCCAGCCTTCATAAATTACTGTTGGCGTTTGGGTATTTAATCTGGGTTTTTCTCCGAACATGTATTGTATTTTCTGGCGTTGATATAAGACACACCCATCTTTCGTTTGATGGGATATATATAACTTCGATTTGTATATATATGTAGATCGGCATCAGGTTTACATGTCTCTGGTATATAATGATGGTACGGATCTGCACCTGGAGGATAGTAGGATATCTCTCCAATCAATTTATTGATGCACCAGGCTTCTCTAGTGAACACTGTGTGCAAATATTTTAGTATAAAATGAGAGTAGTCACATGCTACAGAAGTATTGTTTTTTTATCAAATTTCATTTCATTCTGTTACTATACTAAGGTTGTTATATTTTTAAAAATTCAAAATACTACAGAAAAAATTGATGATAAATTAATTCCTACAATTTTCCTTTCTCAGTCAATAGTTTGTATTTTTCTAGCGAAAAATAATTCATTGATTAATGTTTAAAATAAAAGAAAATAAAATATTATAAAAAGTAATTATCAAAAAAGCTTACAAATTATTCCTTGTTCGTCATTTAAATGAAACATGAATAAAAGATTAATTGTTCCCAAATACAAACATGTAAATATATATGGCGCGGTCGAGAATCCCGTGACCCACCAGGGTCGTTGAGGCACCATATGCTCTTCAGCCGCAGTAGAAGTGGTGTTTCTTGGGCAAGATAGTCTGACAGAGACCAACACCCACCAGGCAGGTTTTAAATTCAGTACCTCCTTTTCCTAGACCGGTTTCATTCTCCTAGAACGGTCGTCTGTCCTGCTATTTACCCATAGCTGGGAGAGAAGAGGATTCATACCTTTCACGAGGGCAATTGCGCGTGAGTGAATATAATGAATTCAACTGGATTCGAACTCTGCTCTCCTAGCTGATATCCATTACTCCACCGTGCCTCCTCATACAGGATATATATATATATATATATATATATATATATATATATATATATATATATATATATATATATATATATATATATATATATGTGTGTGTGTGTGTGTGTGTGTGCATGTATGTGTTTGAGCGCGTGTGCTGGTGCCTATGTGGGTGTACGAGAGTACGACAAGTTACAAGATTATTATCAGCTGAACCTGTTCTCCACATCTGTGGAAATGAGTTAAAACTCAAATTTATTTTAGAACCACTTCTTAGTTGCACCTCTGTGTGCGTGCGTGCGTGTGTGTGTGTGTGTTTTAACAGAGGATGAAAAATATGATATTGAAATACACTGGAATAGCAGAAGATGCAACGTATCAAGAAACAGGAAAATTCCGTTAGAAACAAACAAAAAAAGAACGGAATTTTTATATAATATCGTCCTATATGTAAGGGAATGCTGGGCAATCTCACTACAGATGAAAAAGAGTCTCGAGGCAAGAACAATGTAGTTCTACCGAGGAATGCTAAGAATATCATGGACTGAACACGTGAGCAACGACGATGTTTTTTTTAGCGGGAAACGGAAACAGAAAGGACACTAAAACATAGAATCAGAAAGAGACGTTTGAAATTTGGAACACCCATAATGAGGAAAGAAGGCTTGAGAAAATGTTATACTCACAATATATATTCAAGGCAAAGTGACATAGAAAAGCATCGAGTCCACTACTAAACAAGCTTGTGTAAATACTTGACCGGACAGGAATAAGGAGAGACATCAAAAAATAAATGTTAGTAAGATCTACAAAGGACAGGGAATTGACAGATAAAAGAAAAATTGTCCGAAATAATACTTAAGAAATGACATACATTTGATTTCATTGCGTCTTCATGGATTTTCATTTCTTTGTATCTTTCCAAGGCTCCTTGTAACTGGACAACCATGTTGGATTCTATCTTGGGGAAGAGCTGAAATTTGAAACAGAAAAAAATACATTATGTTATAAATGTCTAAATAAACTGTGTCTATATCCAAAAGCAGTAAATTTTTACTTTCCATCAGCATATTAATTCTAAATACCAGGGGAGAGACTCGTTTCGTCTTCTCAGACTATTTTCCAATGGCATCAAGTGGGAAGTGGAGACTCGTTGGGATCTGTTAATCAGATCTTTTCTGCTGTCAAACACTCCGCCTTCGTATAGAGAGGAACCCGGTCGAGGCTATGCCGAAGGGCAAAATCTGGTCCGCGGAGACAGACAGATCCGAACCCGTTTATGCCGGGTTACGGGGAATTTTTGCCGAGCATTTGTGTACGGATTTCCCCACATTAAACTCTGCCTTGTGCCACACCATTCCTTGTGAGAAGGCAGGTAAATACCGACATCAAGGGAAAAGTTTATATAGGTTTGCAGCTAAAAAATCAGAGGCCTTGCTGCCAGATGTCGTTTATCGTCATACCCAGGACGATGTTAAAGATGTGGAAGGTAAGGATTATTAATTATTCATTAATATTAATTATAATATAAGTTGGCGACTAAACATGAAAAAAATTAGTTAAGATTAAGAATTTCTTTTTAATGTTATGTTCTTTCATTTTATAGGCAGTCATGGCTGTCCATAGTTTCTTTTTGTTATCTGTGAATCGCTATGGATTTTTTTTAATGATTTTGTCTGTTTAACCGCATATCAATACCTTATGGGTCATTTAATGCTGGAATTTAATTTTTTGGCAGTATGGAAGTATTAAAAATATGATAGATGTTATTCTGCTTTCACAATTGAATACATGGTAGATGAATCTCAGCTTTTGTGCATATAGATGTTTGTGTAGACATAATTACTGGAAAGAGTGAGATTTGTGTTTTATGTTGTAGTTTTGTCGTTATATTTTAGAACAGAGTTTGATTTATTTAAGAAATTGTAGGATATTATAAGGATTAATGTCATGAAAGAATTCTTTCATGTTGGTTAGTTGGCTGGTTGTTTGGTTGAATTTGTTTAGTGGCATATAAACATATATAGGTTATTTAATGTCGAAATCTAAGTACTATGAACGCAATTGCATGCTGTCAACTACAGATAAAATGAATTGTTGGTCATTTTACTATAAATATGTATTGTTGGTCATTCTTTTTATATCTCTATCTATAAAAGGGGTGTGTGTGTGTGTGTGTGTGTGTGTGTGTGTGTGTGTAACGAATGCACGGCCGCAAGTTTCGACTGATTTGCACCAAACTTTACATGCACATGCTCCAAGTTAGCAGGAAGACCAAGACCGACTTTGCATTTCCCAACTCCCATCGATAGTGGAAATAATCGATTTTTTCATGCTTCTACGGCAGTTTTCATGTAGTTTGCGGCCATTTTCTACTGGCCAGAGTGAGAGCCTATAGCTGGCTGCCACGAATAGGCAGGAAGATTCTATTGGCCAGCGTGAGAGCCAACAGCTGACTGACACGAATGTTAACTAGCATGCTAGCATGCAAAAAAAAAATCGATAGCTGCATTCGTCACAAGTGGGAAAAATTTAAATCTGCATGGCACTTTACTCCAATTGACTCATTCGCTTGCTTAAACTCAACGTTGATTCTGATTCTGCAGAACTGGGTTGGGTGTGAAAAAAATTTGTTGTTAACATTCTTTTTCATTCGGTTTTTCAATTGCGAGTCCTTTTTTTAAAGCTGATCGTTTTGTGTTCATTTTGTTTAGTTCTTTTTTCGTAACAGATTTAATGTTTAGTATAGAGCTTAGAAAAAATTGGCAGTGTGAGATAGGCAAGAAGTAAGGCATGTAGCAACATCAGCACGGCAAAGGGCACTCCTTTTAAGGCAAGGAAAGGCAAAAATATTTTAAGTCAAGTGATAGCGATTGCTGTATGAGTTGTACGATTTTTGAATCAAGCCCGGGCAACGCCGGGCCATGCTGCTAGTGTTTACTATAAAAATGCATTTTAATATTTTCAGTGTTCTGTTTGGGGAAGTTTGCTATTTGGCCATAACTGGGACCCTAACAGATGCTACCACTCAGGGTCAGGTTAGCCAGGGAACAACAGCAATTAAGAGGTGGTAAGATTCTGAAGGGGGGGCGTTGTTCTCCTCAAAACCTCCAATCTCCCAGTCAGAGAACTTTCTGTCGGATGTAATTCATCATCATGTCTAGGATTGTATGGATGTTTAAGATAGTAAGCAGTTGATTTCTCCACGGTTTTGAATTCAAATCGTTCCTTCTCCTAAACTGTCATCCTAAGCTAAAGATCCCAGCCTACACTTCTATTCTTTCTTAAGGGCATAATAGAGAAAGTGAAAGCATCAGACAAAACCAGTTCCTGAATCCGGCTCGCCAATTCTACCTCTCACAGATGTCGTTTATTTATCATATTTGAATTACGATATTTTTTGTTAAAAAATAAGAATGATTTCTCCATCAGTGATTTCTTTCACTTAGACTGAATTCTATCCAAAGCTAAAGAGCTCACTCTATTATTAGCCTATAGCAAGTCGATTGTGAAAAGATGTGTTCATGCCTTTCTTAAGTGCGTTATTTAAAACAAAAGAATAATCCAGAAATGAAACTCAGCCAGCCGATTCTATTTCTCGCGCCAATAACCGTTATGCTACCCGTACATCAAGTTTATGAGGAGGATAAAACAATAAGTACTTACTTTTGCGACATTTTCAAACATGGGCAGTAAAACGAATTTTATAAATCCTATCTGCGCTGAGGGTTTTGTTACTTTTTCTCGGTCCATAAATGGAGCCACTGGAAGGCCTTCCAGCTTTTCTCGGTCCGCTTGGTTGAAATACTCTTCCAGAAGGCAATCGACCCACGGCTCGGACACCTCCATCGGACGAACTTCGTTCGAAATATCGCAGCATTTGATCAGGACCATTTTTAACTGAAAATATAAAGAAATCGACATTACATACGGGGTTTTTAGCTTGAGTTATCTCGAGGCAGAAGATCGTATATATTATGCTGAATACAATCTGTCATTTGGAAGCAGAGAAATATAATAAGAGCAAAAAAAAAAAAGAAGAAAAATATCAGCAACAAGAATGAATGAAATATATACATGGTAAGTTGAGCAACGTCGAGCCTGGTCATTACCTAGATGGGTGACCAATTGGGAATACCAGTAAACTTGGATATCCGGGAGGTGTAATGTATAACGGTTCTGCGATTTTCAATTCCAGTCGGGTTCGATATAGTAATTGATGCGCAAAGACTCTTGGGAAAAGATATGAATCCTACTTTTCTCCCCAAGCTATGGGTTAATTATTAAGAGTTCTATCAATTATTATTATCTCAAAGGAAAATTCTCACAAATCAAAAATATTTTCTGGCATTAAATAATCTGCAAATGGTTAATAAGCCGTAAAAAAACGAATCAATCAATTAAATCTATCTTGCCTTCGTTAAGGCGAAGTTTTTCAAGTTCGCCTTCCTCATTATGAATCCAAGATATTTCAACTGTTTCTTTATGCCTCTGAGCCGAGTTCCAATTCCAGTCAGGTTGGTTATATTAACTTATCCACAAATACACTTGAGAAATACATGATTCCACGACTTCTTCCCCAACTGAATGGTAGGATTTGAATCACTCAATCATTATTACCGCCAAAGAATCCTTACAATGCCAAACATTTTTCCGGATTTAAATAACCCGCAAAAGGTTGATGAGGCGTAAAAAAAAAAAAAAAAACCTCAAATCAATCAATAAAAAAATACCTCTTTGAGAATTAAAGACATTTTGGGGTGTGAATTTGGAATTCCAAACAGATTCCCCATTCAAGGCCCAAAGACCGGAATTATTTATTGTAAAGAAGCAAAAAGAAAAATGGCAGATCGTGAATGTTGCTCTTCCTGCAAAATACAAATAACAGGAAAAATAAGGAACCGCATGAAATATGTCTAGGTTACAAAAGAGTTTAAGAAGCTCTGAAAAATTCTTGTCGCTATCAGAGATCTTTCCCGATGAGTTTAGTCTAGCCCAGATAGCTCAATGGGGGGGGGTACAAATTGTTAAGAAGAGAGTTGTGGTTCTACAGAAGGATGTTAAGTTCCAATACGGCCAAAACTTAGCTAGTACCGTACCACTTCCCACCGAACAGACCCCCAAACCGTCACCTATCATGATGTATATCTGTTCTCTCAAGATGGTACCGTGTTTTGAACGCTTATAAGAAACTCAAGCTCACCCCAGATCTCAAGAAGGAATTCTTTTACGCGATTTATTGCTAAAAATCGGGGGAAATTGGTCGGTTTTTTTGTATCGAACCTGTAAGTGTCTGACTCTAGTTAAAATCTATCTTCCTTCTTTTATGTGCCGTGTACATTCAGGACGTAGGTTATCATAACCCTCCACATCATCCTGTCCTTTGTAGCTCTTAATAAGTTTTGTCTCTTTGTTATTTAATCCAAACCCTATTCTACCAGCCATTTTCTCAAGCTCATCAAGTATGTAACGCGCTGCTTTCTTCTGTCTTTCCAAACCCTCTTTCTTCATTAGGTGCCACAGAAACCTCAACAGTCTCTTCCTGAAGTTAAGTATAAGTTTCCTGTTTGTTTCTATTCTCTCTAAAACATCGTTGTTGCTCACATGTTTGGCCCATTGTATCCTCAGCATATTTCTGTAGAACGAAATTTCTATTGTTTCAAGTCTCTTTATCTCTGAGAAAATTACCCAGCAGTCGCTGCTACACAGGAAGACAGATATCATGTAACAGTTCAACACTCTTTTATGGAGGTTGAAACGCCTGTTCCTGTTCGATCACCGAAGATAAACAAAATCGCGTCTGGAGATCACTCAGATACGTGACCGCTAGCGGAATACCAGTTGCTACACGACTGGCCTAGCAAGTCTGCAATGGATATAATCTGGCTTGTTATACGAACGGAAGACCCCAATATGTAGAGGAGCTCCTGACAGGTCGCAAAACCTACTTGGAGCTGGGTGGGTGAGTGATTAAAGAGTGAACCTCTTTCCTACGCTAGAGAAAATCTAACAATCAGAAGTTTCAAAAATATTTTAAAACTTTAATAATCCAAATGACACCAGTAAAAAGAAGAGACTTGCATTTCTACAGAAGGATGATGAGGATACCATGAACCGAACATGTGTGCAACGACAAAGTTTAAAGAATATAGAAACGAAAAGGAAACTTATACTTATCATCAGGAAGAGACAGCTGAAATTTGTAGAGTACACAAGGAAAGAGGGCTTGGAAAATCTGATAACCACAGGGCAGATTGAAAGAAAAGCAGGAGAGAGGAAAATATTCGCATAGCGTACCCAGTGAGCTTGAGTAAATGTGTGGCAGAACAAGGTTTAGGAGAAATGACAAAAAATAACTTTTATTAAGAGCGACAAAGGACAGTAAATTTTTGAAGAGCCATGATCGCCAACGTCTAGAAAGGGACACGATACATAGAGAATCATAAAAAAAAAATATTTTTATGAGACGAGGAATTTTCAACTGTTAAAATTTAACCTTCAAACGTTCAACTATCATGATGGAAGTGTGTTCTCTTAGGTAGGCACCTTGTCTTGAACGCTTATAGAGACTCAAGCTCAACCCAGATCTCAAGTTGGACTTCATATAGACGATTTATTGCTGAAGATGCGGGGAAAATTAACCGGTTCTTCGTAGCACACCACTAAGCGTCTGACTACTATCTTTCTCCGTCTTTTATGTGCTGTACCCATTCAGGACGTAGGCGATCATAGCCCTCCACATCTTCCTATTCTTTTTTAGCACTTAATTAGTTTTGTCTCTTTGTTATTTAATCCAAACCCTATTCTACCATCCATTTGCTCAAACTCTTCAAGTATGTAACGCGCTGCTTTCCTTTATTTTTCCAAACCCTCTTTCCTGGCAGAACAAGGTTTAGAAGAAAATAATAAAAAAAGACAACTTTTATTAAGAGCGACAAAGGACAGGAAATTGTTGGAGAGCCATGATCGCCAACGTCCTGAAGGGACACGGCACATAGAAGAATAATAAAAAAAAAATTGCAAAATTATATTTATGGGAGAAGGAATTTTCAACTGTTAAAATTTAAGTCTGACTTGTACTTGTTTTTTTCTTTTCCTTTCTTTTCCTAATATTCACCTAATCTAAAGCTTGAGAGAACTCAAGGTAGAAGGTTATTGAACGACGTGTGTAATCTGAACGGAGGAAATTGGATGAAGTGTTAAAATAAATAATGCTTGATCCAACACATGAAGATATTTTGTAGTGTCCAAGGAAGTCTCCAGGCAATTTGAT